AAAAAAAAAAAAGTTATTTACAAAGAAGGGGGAGAGGTTTGGCAAAGGAAACATAACTGAAAAAAGCTCTGGGCTGGGTGCCTCACAGGCCAACAGAGAGGTCCCAGGAGCAAGACAAGAATCAGAATCAGTACCTGTATGCGACACTGGTCATACTCCCGCTTGGTGGGAGGCTCCTGGCTGGGAGAGGAGGGAACAGGACCCGGCTCTGTTGTTGGTGGGGATGGCTGAGAACCCACATTACCACCATACTGGAGGACAAAGTAAAACACTCCATCAGGCACGCACTCATCCTCAGAAGAAACACAGGGTAAGCCCATCCTTTCCCTCTGAAGCAGAAAAGGGGATTTACCAGCCCACTTACTTAATTACCCTCAGTATTGTCCCAGTCACCTACCTTCTTGGCTCTCTCGGCTTTGTCCCTTTCGATCTTTTCTCGGACTCTTTGTCTGGAATCCAGTCAGGAAGAAAACAGGTCAGGTATTGACAAAGCAAATATTGATTCCTTCCTCAGCTCTTATCCAACATCCCCAGCACCCGCACCTGGCTGCTAACTCTTCAGCTTTCTCCCGCCTCCGCTCCTCAGCGGCCCGGCGCATCTCATCTTCCTGCAGCCGCTGTCGTGCAGCGGACAACTCCTGCCCTTGTCTCCTGCGCTGCCGCTCCCGCTCCAATGCCTCCCGCTCTTCTCTTTCTTCACGCTCACGCTGCTTCTGGGCCACCAGCTCCAACATCCTGTGTTGCAAAAAGGAAAGAGCTCACGACAAATGGACATGGATTGGGAAGGTGAGTTTATAACAAGGGACTCCGAAAACAAAGTCATGGAACATGTGTCCCAAACAGACGAAAGAAAAACAAAAAAATGTCAAGAAAGGACAGAAGGAATGTGAAAAGTTCAAGGTTCTTTGATCAGGCTGTGTACTGGGGAGAAGTGGAAGGTGACCCTCAAACAGATTTTCCTTGCTATATACCTCTTAGTCTGTTCCTGTCTTTCCTCTTCACTCAAAACTGGTTTGCCTTCTCCTGCAGCGGACTCAGGTTCTACAAACAAGCAATCGGTATTATTACCCGTCCATCCTCCTCCGGCCCTCCTGAATAATCACACCGTGTCCCTCAGTCAGGACCTTCAGGGCCACCTTGCTCCGAGGAGGTGGGTTCCTGTCCCAGGGTATGTCCAAGGGGGGCTGCTAGGGGCTCGTCTACATCAGGGTCCTCTTCGTGCTCCATCAACCTGGCAGAGAAAGTCGGAAGGGAGATTAACATGGAGGCTGTCCGTCCCAGCAGTCCTCGGTCCCCTGCCACCCACTGTGAACGCTCACCAGTCCATCGCGGCCTCGATGCCCTGGTTCCCTGTGAGGGCCAGAGCCTTCTCCCTGGGGGCAGAAACACCGTGAATAGCGCCCAAGAGCCATGGTGACGGTCAGGCTGGGGCGTAGAGGCTGAGGCCAGGCTGGGGGAAAGGCCCGGACACATCCGCGACCCCGCGGGCCGGGGTTAGGGGGGCTGCCTTACGCGCGTCCCCTGGGGAAGCCCATCTCGATGAGACTCTCCAGAGCCGTCAGCTCCGCCATGACACCGCCAACGCCGCTTCCGCGGGGACCTGGGCAGACGAGGAGGGCGGAGGGGGTCAGCGCGGGGCGCCACCGGCCCGCGCGCAACACCGCCCCCGACGGGGCCCGGCCCGGCGCTCGCTCACTCACCCGGCTACGGACCCGCCGCGGACACTGACGAGAAGAAAGCGGAGGGGAAGCGGAAGTGCCTGGATCTGTTTGGGTCACGTGTAGGCGGATGTGGACGGGTGCCGCTGTGAGCCAGAAAACACAGGCCCGGCCCTAACGCCAGAGCTGCGCGGCCGAAGCCAGGCAGCTTGTGGGAGTCGCTGAGGTGGGGACGGCCCCCAAAGCCCGGGCACCTGGTGACGGTGGGGAAGAAGGACAGTGCGGCGCTGAAACCCATGGGTGGAAGAAGCCAGCTCCGGATATGGTCCCTTAGCGCAACCAGTTGGAAAGCTATTTGACAATGTTTATCAGGAGCCTTAGAAATGTGCATATCCTTTTTATTTTATTTTTTTTTATAAGAGTTTATTTGAGTTAAACTGACCACATATGCTGGGGAGCAAGATCTCAAATACTTTCGAAATGTGCATATTCTTTGTTAAAACTCTCCAGGGAATTGAGCGGTCTTCCTTCGGACCGCAGATGAGATTTTTGCAGAATACAATATCTCATCCTGTCATCACTTCCCTGCTTAAAACTTCTCCATGACACCCCAATCACTTAGGAGGAAATTTAAATGCTGGTAGTCTGGCTTCCTCCTGCCCCTTTTTTTGTTAGAGCCCGATCTGTAAAGTGAGGATAATAACAGCACCTACCACAGGTGCCTGGCAAGATTCTTGTGTAAGTACGTATTATGTTAGTAGTTAGTGCACAGTTTTATTTCCCACCACTTAAGGGTAATTTGTGCTTATTGCAGAATAGGCCCTCTCCCTCCTCTGGGCCTTTGCACCTACCAGTCCTTCTGCCTGGGATGTCCTTCCTGCCTCTTTGGTGGGCTTGGTTAATTCTCAGTTTTTGGACTGGATTCCGGGTTTGCTTTCTAAGGAAAGCCTGCATGGACCACCTCCCAGCTCCAGTATTTACCCCAGTAAATATTTATCCCCCTACTGTGAAGTCCTTGTTGATTTACTTAGTCCTCCACAGATACTTGGTCTGTTAGATCCCTAAAGGTGAAGCTCACTTTCAATCTTTAATAGGAAGTAGAGAGACAATAAATGACTGATATTGATAATGTATGCCCCAGAAACTTTTATTTATTTTTTATTTTTTTGAAAGATTTTTATTGGGGAATTGGGGGATGGGAACAGTGCTGGGGAATCGGGGGAAGAGGAACAGACAAGTGGTTGAGCTGTTGTTCAGCATCTTAGCTGTGGAGGGCAGTGTCACTGGCCCTCATATGTGGGATCTGAACCCGGGCCCTCTGGCGTCGCAAGCCAGCTCTTAACAACCGCGCCACTCGGTCAGTCCAGAAACTTTTAGATTAATGCTTATTTAATCATCACAACAATCATATGATATAAGCACTATTATTAGTCACAGGAAACAGGCGCAGGAAGATTAAACAATTTACCTAAGTTCACAAAGCTGGTCAGTAGCACAGCTAGGATTCAAACCTTAGTGAATTTAGTGAATGCAGTGTAAAAAACCACCATGCTGTTTTGCTTCTCCATGGTGAAGAGAAGAGCATCGGCTTTGGAATTGGGACACTTGGTCCCAAATGCTAACTCCTTACATGTAGCTTCAAACCATTTAGAACCTCACATTTCTCATCTGTCAAAAGGCGATACCAGGCTGGCTGAGTGGCGCGTTGGTTAGGAGTTGGCTTGGGTCACCAGCTCTGAGCAGCAGGGCCCCGGTTCGGATCCCACATGCGCTCTCTACAGCTAAGATGGTGAACAACAGCTCGACCTGGACCTGGGCTCTGTGAGTCGTGGGGGACGGTGTAGACTGCAGTGGAGCTGGTCAGCAGCAGGGGTGAGCTTTCATGAGCTGTGGTGAGCCACAGTGAGTGGCTGTCCAATGGCTGGTAAGCGACTGCCTCACCCGGGAAGAGCGCAATAATGATGGTGCCAACATGGGCCAGTGAAGCGACGTCCTCCACAACTAGACTGAAGAACAAAAGGACAGCAACTTGTCTGTTCCCCTTCCCCGGTTTCCCAACACTGCTGTTCCCCTCCCCAAATTCCCCAATAAAAAATCTAAAAATAAAAATAAAAAATGGCGATACCATCTCTTGGAATGATTGTGGTGAAGATTACGTGAGAATGCATGTAAATAATGAGATAGTAGGTTCTTATTACTTGTAAATGAATAAATGCTGAGGATACAGGAAGCAAATTAAAACGGCACAAAGTATTTGCTGCAGTGTGGTAAGCATAGTCTAGATAACAAATGTAAAATTTATCCTAGAAGTCTAAGAAAAGAATGATTAAATTGTATAGTACTGCCTCTTTGACCTACTTCCAGGTAAGTACCCTATAGAAATACAGAAACATGAGGATGCACCAAGAAGGATGTCTATAGCAAACACTGGAGACAACTTAAATGTTCTAACAAAGAGCCATGGCCACTGTCCGTTAAGGAGTATCCTCCTATGGAAAGTTATGCAGCCATAACTAAGGAGTCTATGATTTACCAATAAGGAACATTGTCCATAAGATACTAAGTGAAAGAAGAAAATATTTGCATTGCATAGGGAAAGATCTGCTCTGCTGCATGTAGTTACCCCTTGAGGAGGAGGGGACCTTCCACTTTATACTCTTCAGTATTACTTGAAATTTATATAAGGGTTACTTTTATAATAAAAAAATGTTATTAAGACTAGTAAAAGTAAGGATTATACTCTGTAGCAACTTAGACTTTTCTACATCCAGTTCATTCAAAAGTAAATTCAGGGCCAGCCGAGTGGCGCGATGGTTAAGAGCTGGCTTGGGACCCCAGAGGGCCCCAGTTCGGATTCCACATATGAGGGCCAGTGACACTGCCCTCTACAGCTAAGATGCTGAACAACAGCTCAACCTGGAGCTGGGCTGCTGTGAGTCACTGGCAATGGCATAGGTTGCAGCCCCTACTGCAGTGGGTTGCCATGGGCTACCGTGTGTAGCAGCGGCAGCAGGAGCGGCCCTCCGGAAGCTGCCGACTGATCTGCCTCGCCCAGGAAGAGCGCAATGATGGTGCCAACTTGGGCCAGTGAAGCAACGTCCTGCACAACTAGACTGAAGAACAAAAAACGACAGCAACTTGTCTGTTCCCTTCCTCCAATTTCCCAGCGCTGTTCCCATCCCCACAATTCCCCAATAAAAAATCTTAAAAAAAAAAAAAAGTAAATTCAAAATGATGTAGACAACTCTGAAAAATACATATGTGGACAGGGAGTTGAAAAGGATCATGAAAAATGAAATGTTTTCCTTTTACATTTGCTTTAATGTTGTTACAGTAGATAAACAATAGGCACATGGGGGGAATCCCTTGGTATTTTTGTATTATTATTTATGTATTTATTTATTTACTCTTAACTGGCAAAATGCAAGCTTGTCCCAGACAGCAGCTTGGGCTTTCCCTCTCTTCTCCACTCCATGTCAGTCATTTATTTCCACCCACCTCAGACACAGGTGGATTCTGAGTCAGGTGTGTCCATCCTGGATATCTAAACAAAAAGGAGAAGAAGAAGGAGTAGTCTCTGGCCTCAAACTCCTATCCTGCAGCAGCTTATTCTTAAAATCCCACTGAAGCCACCCATAGTGGCAGAGCCCTTCTGTGGGTGTTTGGTGGGGCTGCTAACTCCAGCCAGGGGGCCAAATCTGGCTCAGGCCTGATTTGTAAGGTTCATGAGCTAAGAATGGCTTTTACATTTTTATAAATGGTTACATGGTTATACAAGTACCTATACAATATCTTTGATTTTATCCTCTGGAACCACAAAAGCAGAAAATATTTACTATGTGGTCCTATGAGAAAAACTTTGTAGAACCTCTCTACTCCTTCCCCAGCCTGAGCCAGGACCTGCATGAGCTCCCAGGCAGAGCACAGAAGCTCAGAGAGACCCCGGCTGCACAGGGCAGCAGCAACCTGAACCTCCTCTAGGAGCGCGGGCTGAGCTCGCTGGGTGGCGGGCTCCGAGTGGCCGAGATGCCCGCGGGCTCCTTCAGAGCCTCTCAACGGGCCGGGCGGCGGGCTGAGTGCGGCGGGGGCAGCCACAGCGCTGGCGCAGGCAGAAGTGCCAGACCAGGGCACCACAGCTCAGCAGAGCCAGCGCCGTGCCCACCCCCACGGCCGCGTGGACCAGGCTGCGAGGTCGTGGGGGCACAGCCAGCCGGCCGCAGGGCCCGAAAGTAGGGCCGCCAGTGCCCTCGGGGCCCTCGCCACCTGCCCCGGGCAGGCTGCTTTCTCCGGCAGCATTAGCGGCCACCACGCAAACGACATAAGCGACCCCGGGCTTCAGTCCCTTCAGTTCTGCTCGGCGGATGGTAGAGTTGAGAGGGGGGCCCTTTTGGGGAGCCTCGCTGCCTTCCCCAAGCAGCAGCCAGTACTGGTGGACGGGGGAGGAGGGGGCACACCAGTGTACTATTGCACTGCCTTCCTCGGCCACCACGTGCACTTCTCCCAGGCGCGGTGGAGAGGGTGGTTGCAAAGGGCTGGAGAGCCCAGGGCACAGGCAGGCCCTAGGACTGGCCCTCTGCAGCTCTCTGCAGGGCACCTGCAGGTGGCGGCAGCGGTCGTAGTCACAGAGGACAGCTGGCAAAGGTGACCTCGGTGTCTCATCTTCCTCCTCTTCTCCAAAGTCTTCAGGGGCCAAGGGATGCACTCTGGGAACCAAGGAGAAGGTGACAGCCAGGAGCCACAGAAGGCAGGGAAAGCCCAGCATGGAGTCTGGAAGGGAAGGGGGTGGGTTGGTAAAGGTTGCTCAGCCCCCAAGATCTTCCAGGTCCTCTGCCTCAACAAAATCCTGGGGGACAAGGAAAACACCACTGGGGACCAAGAAGAGAACAGAAAAGAGGAGGGAACAAGACAGATACACTCATTTGTCAACCAACTTCTGAACAGCCTATGTGCTTATTTTCAGGCAAAAAAGAATAAAATATGGTTTGATAGGAGACAGATGTGTGACCAGCAATGTACCAAGTACTAGAAACAGTTAATAAATGAAGTACTGGTGGGGAAAAGGGGAGGAAATGATTTACTCAGCCTAGGAAGAAAGGTGGCGTAATTCCCAGCTGCCACTCAGAAAAGAAGTAAAACAAATATCAGTCAAGGACACCTGCAAAAACCCAGAAATGAGATGGAAAAAAAAGACATAAGGGGAGGTAAGGCCCTCACACCCCACCTGTCGCAGGAGTGCTGCCTGTTCTCCACCTCCCCGACTCCTGGCCCACGACAGCCCCTCACCAGTGCGCAGGCCTTGATGCAGTGGGAGTCTGCGACCAGATGTCTGTGGGTGTCAGGCCAAAGGGTCCCCAGGAGCACAGGCAGTGGGAATCTACGACGGGACGTCTGTGGGTGTCAGGCCGAGGGGTCCCCAGGAGCACAGGCTGCATTCAGGTTTTGTGTCTTCAATTTCAATTCTGTTTCGCTGGAAGCTTTTATACCCTTCAACTGTGATGTCACCACCTAGCCCCCCTCTCCCTGCCCCCCTTTCCTGGTGAGTGCCAAGAGGGTTGGTCCCTTCAGAAGGCCTGAGTCACGGGGCCGGGGGAAGCCACATGCAGTGGTTTCAGCTGGAGGCCAGGATGCCTGGGTTCTGAAAGGGGACTGGAATGTGGAAAACAGCCAGGAGCTGAGAATCCAAAGGCTGAAGTCATGTTTAGGGATGAGGAAGGGAACACAAGGGAGGGGGCGACCTGGCTGGTAGCAGAGAGGAAAACAGCTGTAGACAGCATGGGGCTTGGGCTACAAAATGCTGTTTCGGTAAAAATCATACCACATCCATGACAGTCATTTCCTGTCTTCTGCCTCCCAATGGACAGAGAAAGGGAGGGGTGCAGAGCGATGTAGCCGAGCTCTCCAGACCCACCCTGCACTATCCCCCTCCCCAGAGATGAGTCACGTGGATAGAGTAGACAAGATGTTTTCTCTCTTTGCACTTCTTAGGCTTATGAATGGAAATAGCTGTGGCTAAGACAGTGCAGGGCCTGGAGACCTTCCCCAGCGTAGCCCTTGACAAGACAACCTCCTCCAGTCAGGGTGGTGGATGCCTGGGAACCCAGGGTTTTCAAATGGCCCTAAATTATCACTTCAAAGAGTCAGAAGCACCTGGCAAGAATATAGTTTATTGGGGGAGCCACAAGAAAAGGAAGGGGTCAGGTGGAAAAGGGCTGAAGTCACAAACACATCAGGATAGGGAAGAAGTCAGTTCACCAAATCAGACCAACAACCCCAGATATCTGGTGGCTGTGTTCAGCTTGGGGGTGAAGTCTGAAGAGTGGAACAGGATTCTGCCCTGTTCTCTTTAGGAACTAGAGCAGGTGGGGTGCTGCCGGACAGAGCCCCCAGTGGGCTCAGAGCTGCCCAGAGTCTCCGGGGCCAGGGCAGGGGCTGAAGCAGGCAGGTTGGCCTCCGTCAGCAGGGCCGCATCTTCCCAGGAGCCTGAACCTGGGCAGGGGAGGGAAAAACAAAATCCCAAATGGGAAATTAGATAACCAGGGGCCCCTCCCCACCCAATGTGGCATCCTCCCAATCCCACCCCCACCCTACCGAGGTCCCCATGCAGGGCGGTGCCCCTCACCATCACTGGCCTCCGGCTCTAGCTCTTCCTCTCCACTCAGGGGCTGCTGATCTGGTTTCTCTTCCTCAGACAGCTGGCCCTCTGCAGCCACAGGGAGAGTGCAGAGGTCAGACTGGAAGAGGCTGAGGGGAGGGCTAGGAGAAGTTGGAAGGGAGGGATGCCTGAGGCACCATACCTGTCCCCGAGGGATCCTCAGGGCTCTCACCATCCTCTGTAATGTCTGACAGCTGGGTTGACTCCTCTTGGCCTTGGGGTAGAAGGCAGGGCAGAGCAGGGCTAAGGAGGCCACGCCTGGACGGCAGTGTCTTTTCTTTGACCCTCAGCTCAGTGTGTGAGAGCCTGAAGCCTCCTACTGGATGCTGCAGGAGCCCCCCACTCTCCCAGCCCCCATCACCTTTACCTGGCTGATGGGCAGAGATCCTTCCCTGGACTTCCTTTCGGGAACCCTCTCTTTTTCGGATGTTTACCTGTGGAGGAGAAACCACTCAGCAGTGAGGACTGCCTTCCCTCCCCAGTGATCAGGACCCTGCCGCCCGAGCCCCCAACGTGCCCTGGCCCATTCCCCAGTCAGAGAAGGATCACGAAGGGGAGAGGACGGGGTCCTTTGCGACCTGCAAAGCGAAGCGGTGTCGGGGCCAGATGCCTCCCCACACCCACTGCATGTAGCTGAAGAGCACGATGACGCTGAGGAAGGTGAAGTTGCTGGCGACACCTACGAAGGCGCAAGTCATTGGGAAGTTGTACAGCAGGTACCTGAGGCAGGGAAGAAGGGACAGGAAGTAGCATCACGGGAAAGCTCCAGCCTTCTCATAAGACAGCAGTTCTCAACTCTGGCTGTACATCAGAATTCCCTAGGGTGCTTCCAAAAAGTCTGATGGCCAGATGTGGACCTAACAAATTCTGGTTCAGTTGTTTTGGGGGCAGGGCCCAGGCATCGGTATTTTTAAAAACTTCCCCAGGAATCAAATGAACAAGCAAAACAAACGCAGACTCACAGAGGCAGACTGCTGGCTGGTGGTTACCAGAGAGGCGGGGGGGTGGAAGGAGGGCGAAATGGGTAAAGGGGGTAAACTACATGGTGATGGATAGAAAATAGACTTTTGGTGGTGAGCATGCCATAGTATATACAGATGTTGCATTATGTTGTACATTGGAAACTTACATAATGTTGTACCAATGTTACCTCAAAGAAGAAAAAAAAAAGGCTCCCCAGGGAACTGATAGGCTGACGTGCAGCCAGGGTTGAGAGCCTGTGGCCCAGGTAAAACCTGTTACCTCTGCTTAGGACCCTCTTCTCTTGACGGCTCCATGAGAGCTGCTGAGGCCCACTTCAGTGGTTCCTCACCTGAGCCCAGAGAAGTGGGCATGGATGCGGAGGTAGGCTCCGTACAGCTGGATGCGCTTGCTGTGGACCTCGATAAACGCTCCGGTGGTCGGCACATACTGCAGGGGCCAGGGTGGAGGGGTGGTAGCCACGTCAGGCCGGGATCTTGCTCCTGACAATCTGAGGCCCGCGTCCAGCCTCTGCTGCTGTCCCTCCTGACCGAGCCCAGAGGCTCCTCAGGCAGAAGTCTGGGCTTATGGGGAGGGCTGTCTCCTAGTCCTCCTTCACCCCCCTTACCGAGTTCTCTCTATATTCCGGGTACAGCTCCACCTCCAGGAGCTGCTTCTGCTCTGCAAAGCCAAACAGCAGGAGGCTAGAGAAGACCAGTGTGTCAATCATCTGGAGAAGATCTGAGCGGTAATGCAGCATCACCTGCCAGGGCCAGGAGAGAGAGGTTGGGGACTGATACCTGCAGATTCCCACGGCCCCTCAGTCACCCCTGAGAGTCTATGAAGGCTGCTGCTTCCTCAGGTCCCCTGCTCCCTCACTTTCACTTCCTATAACGTCCCCCCCAGTCTTGACCCCATTGTTCCAAATGCTTGAGTGCCGTCCCTGCTCTGCCCTACCTAACACACGTCTATTCCGGCACAACAAAGGACCCTCTTCAAAGAAGCCTTCCTAGGACAAGCCTAACACTGTCTCTCATCTACCTTTCCCCCAGATGGTTCTATAATCCAGAATAGATTAAGCCCCAGTGCACCATCTGGGGCTTTTTTCCCCGTGTAGACATTTAGGGATTTGCTTTCATCATGTGGTTTTGTTGACAATTAAGAATGGAGTCTAAAGGGCCGGCCGAGTGGCTCAGTTGGTTAAGCGCTCTTTCAAGAGTTTGAGCTCTGAGCAACAGCGGTTCGATTCCCGGCCCGAGCTGAGCAGCCACTGAGCTGCCAACAGGTGGCAGGATGGCTTAGCTTAAAAAAAAGAAGAAAAAAAGAAAGAATGGAGTCTAACATTCATTGAACACCCACTATGTGCTAATAAACACTTTGCATTTCCTGACTGAATCCAAACTAGTCTTGCTATAGGGAGTTACCATCATACCATTTATAATACTTTATAACCAAGGGGGTTAGTAAGTTGCCCCTCAGCTAGTATGTTCCTGAGTGATGATTCGAGCTCATGTCTGTCTGTCTCCAAAGAAGCCCGTTTTCAGAGCGGCTCCACTCTTCAGACTTTACCCCAAAGTTGGACGTGGCCACCAGATATCTAGGGCTATTTGTATGATTTGGTAAACTGAGTCCTCTTCCCTATCTGGATGTGTCTGTAACCTCAGAGCTAGGACGTTTTCTCCTGAAGGCCAACCCAGATATTCTAACATCTATCGTCATTCTCCACACCCTCCCATACAGTCCACGAACACTTACGGAGCGTGAAGAAGTGGAGATGATTCGGCCGCCTCTGGTGTAGCACGAAATGGTGACCAGGAACATGCCCAAATTTTGATTGACGGGGGACTCTGGCAGCTCAAGCTCTAAGGTAACGCGGTACGGCTGTCCATACATCAGCACCTGCCCGAGGTAGCCCCATCTCTCCTCAAAAATGTGTACTTGTAAACTGTACGGTCCCTGTTCCACTCCTCCTGTACCCCTCCAAACACTGTGCCACAACCCCCTTGGTTAGAGCACTAGAAGACCTCTCCATCTCTCTCATCCCAAGAACGTGCTGCCCCCTACTGGTGGCTGGATCCCTCCCACTTCTGAGATCTGAGTCCAACGGCCCTGAGAAACAGGCTGTCGTCTTTTCCAAAGAACCATCGTGTTGCCAACTGGGCCATCTGTGACTCAGGCCTGTCCCCAGGAGGCCATCCCCCTGGGTCTAACCTGCCTTCACTTACATTATTAATTAACTAAGTGCCAGAAATGCTCACCATCTCCCTAGCCAGCTCTTGCACAGTCATTGTTGCTCCAGATCATCTTTATATCATTCTGGGTCCCTTACACTGGTTCTGTTGGCAGAACCCTGAGACTCCCAGTGGGAAGCCTTCTTCTCTGGGATTAACCTGAAAAGGTTAAAGACTTGCCACCAAACATATCCTAGTTTTTCCTGACCATTCCTATATTCCTCTAATCCTATATTCAACTATGTTCCCGTAGCATGACCCCCTTAGGGTGGTATATAAGATTCACAGGGGTGATGGGAAAGCTTTTGTTTTTAACAAAAGAGGGAATGGATTTAAGGGGGGAAATAAAACTGACAAACGCTGCCTTAGCCCATACTGAACCAGCTCCAAAATCTGGATATGACTGATGGTCCTCTCAATATTTTATCACTAGGGTAAAAAGGTGGGAAGCCTGTGATCCAAGCCTTTATACAGATTCTTATTTTCAGTCTGAATTATTTGTTGAAAAAAAGAATGGATTCCAAACAGAAAAATCCAAAGAAATAAAGGATTTTCTGTAGTGTTTTGAAAAGTTTGCAACTTATGTAGTAGCAGATAAAATTTCTATTGTAAAATCTAATTTGCAAAATGTTCTGAATAAAGTCGTTGAAAATGAAAAAAAAAAAAAAGGATTCCATGAGATTCCTACCCTTCTATAAAGGCCACATGAATCTAAGCCAATTGTTTCTCTGAATTCTTTGAAACACTAAAATAGTTCTCTGGGTGGGCTGGAGGGAAATGGGGAGTGA